CCCCCAAAAGGACAAAACTTCAGACCATTCACATGGTCATCTGCTTTGTGTAGCATGGCCCCAGATTGCTGAACTCATAGGCAAGAATAAATGTTCTAGACAATTAGTTCAGGGTCCTAGAAGAAGAAAGACTGGAAGATTGGGGACAAGGAATTCTAGGATTGAGGCATGTGATGTAAATACAGGAATCAGAACAAAATGTGAAGATCTTTGTAAATGTTAACATTCAGCAGAGATTATATGCCAAAGGAGAGGCAGTAAATAACTAGCTAGACAAACTGATTGAACCAGTGAGCATCAGCCAGCCTTTTGTCAGTGATCATAATCACCTGCAATGACAAGGGTACAGGATAAACTTAAAGCATAAGCTCTCACCATGGATTATCTTGCTACTGCTACTGCCAAATATCCAGCATGTCAGCAAAAAATGTTCAACATCTCTAGCAATTAGGGAAATGCAAATTAAAACTACATTGAGATTTCATCTCACTCCAATGAGAATGGCACTTATAAAGAATATAAATAATAATAAATGTTGATGAGGATGTGGATAAAAAGGTACACTCATACATTGTTAGTAGGACTTGAAATTAATGCAGCCACTCTGGAAAGCAGTATGAAGATTCCTTAAAAGACTAGGAATGGAGGGGCTGGGTTTGTGGCTCAGTGGTAGAGCACTCATCTAGCACTTGCGAGACTCTGGGTTCAATCCTCAGCACAAACATAAAAATAAATAAAATAAAGATATTGTCTCCAACTAAAACTACAAAAGAAAAATATTTTTAAAAAAGACTAGGAATGTAATCACCATACAACCCAGTTACTCCACTACTCCAAAAGATTTAAAATCAGGATACTACAGTGATGCAGCCATATCAATGTTCATAGCAGTACAATTTACAATAGCCAAGGTACGGAGATAATCTAGGTACCCTTCAACAGTTGACTGGATAAAGAAAATGTGGTATGTATACATAATGAAATATTATTTAGCCATAAGAAAAATGGCATTATGGCATTTGCTGGTAAATAGATGGAACTGGAAACTATCACGCTAAGTGAAATAAGCCAATCCCCAAAAGTTAGAGGTTGAATATTTTCTCTGATATATGGAAGCTAATCCAAAATAAGGGAGGGGGGACTAAAAGAGAAGAAAAAAAGAAAAGGAGAAGGAATTTCATCAAAACAGAGGAAATGTCAGTAGAGTAGACCAAGGGGATTAAGGAGGAATAGGGACAGAAATAGGGAATAACAGTGAAATAAATCTTACTGAATGCATGGATGTGGCGCAGTGGGTCCTGGCACTGGGTGTATCACAGGACACTAAAGATAAAAAGTAAATTTTAAATGGATTGAAGAGGTGGAGTGGAGTGGAGGGAGGGGAGTGGGGGGTGCCATGATGGGGACTACTGGGGACTGAATTGGAGTGGGTTGTATTCAATGTTTTTTTGATTATATCAGGGCATATCTTGGTGTTGTATATAGCTCTAAAAAGGAATAAATAAAAAGTATATCAAAAAATCACTATAGGCCTTTTGAAGGAGAGGAGTATGATATTGTTTGAAAAGATCACTCCAGCTGCTATAAGGAGTATTATTAGAAGAAGAAAGACAAATTGAAGACTTTTATCATAGCTCAGGTAAGATATTATGGCAGCATTGACTATGCTGAAGATAGTGGAAGTATACAGATGCAAAACATAGGTTGGATGTGTGTGATTGAGGGAAAAGAGAATATTAGTGTGCATTTTCATCTTGTGACATAAAGAAAAGGTCAATTAGTGGAGTAATGTTTGGATATTGGAGACACTAGAGGACTCAGGATTTCTTTGGTTTGTTGACTGATCAATTTTTAAACGAGTGTGGGAAATGAGGAGCATGATTTTGAATATAGGAAATTTAATCATCATCCAAGTAGAGATTTCAATAAGTAATTACACAAGCCTGATGCTTAGGTCTAAGAAGTAGATGTGATGAAAACACTTAGCCACCATTTGGAGTGAAAAGTCAAATAGATTTATTTTCTCTTACACAGGTCTTTGTAGTCATTATCAATGGGTTATATTAGAAGGACTATGTCCTTTAATTTTGAATGACATGGGCTTGAATCCCAACTCTTTCTTTAAAATATTTTCACCTCTTTCATGTTTTTATTGGTATATTATAATTATACATTGCTGTGGTTCCAGTCAATTAATTGCTCGGCTACCTTGTTGCCAGGGGGTAGAGACACAGAATCAACACACAGACCCCGGGAACTAGTGAGAGAACTGGCTGGAGACCCACCTCAGGACGTCATCCAGTAGCTCAGTTTATTTTTAGAATGCATATAATTGTTACAGGGTTTGAGTGGGGCATGCCCATCAATCATACACAAGCAAGATTGATAGTATCCATAAGCCAATCATCTTATGCCTAATGTAACCACACTATGAGGATGCTCTAAATATTGCTATCATCAGGAAGGGACTTTGTCCCTAGGGGAGGGGATTTATAAAAAGTTCCATTCCTGAAGCTCCTGGCTATCAGTTTCCTGGTCTGGCAGCTTGGCAATGCTAACCACAAGTGCTAAGGATGTGGTTTCACTAATGGCTCACTAGAGCAGAGCATCCCATCCTGTAGGCATTACTATCAGGCCTGAACAAATGTAGATTCTTCAAGCACTCCAAGCTGCTCATAGCTGCTAGCTGCTAGCTGTAAACTGAAAGTTATTCCAATATTACATTATAGTAAAATTTATTATAACCTATTTGTACCTGCACACACAAAAAAAGATAATTTTATTTCATTCCACAGTAATTCCACCTTTCCCTTCCCCTCCTGCATTCTCTATCCCATTACTCCGCTTTACTGGCCTTGATAATTTCTTAATTGATTCATTATAATTATACCTAAAAGTGGGATTCATTGTGATATATTTGTACATACACATAGCATAATTTGATCAGTTTCATTTCCTAGTATTTCTGCTGGTCTCCCCTCTGTTTTAATGAGGTCCCTTCTTTATTCCTTTTTTTATCTTGATCTTATTCATATAAAAGAAAACATTTGATTCTTGACATTATTTCACTTAGCACTTTGTTTTCTAGTTCCATCTATTTACCAACTATTTAATGAGATGATGATGATGTTCTTTATGAATGAATGAAACTCCATCGTGTGTGTGTGTGTGTGTGTGTGTGTATCATGTTTTCTTTATCTGTTGAGAGACACCTAGACACATTCCACAATTTGGCTCTTATGAATTGTGCTGCTGTAAACATTGGTAAGCATATATTACTGTGCATTGCAAATTTTAATTCTTTTGAATAAATACTAAAGTGCTAGAATATGGGCTGGGGTTGTAGCCCAATAGTAGAGTACTTGCTTCACATGTGGAAGGCACTGGGTTTGATCCTCAGCACCACATAAAAATAAAGATATCATGTCCATCTACAACGAAAAGATTTTTTTAAATATTAAGGAGCAGAATAGCTGAGTTCTGTGATGGTTCCATTCCTAGTCTTTTGACAAATCTCCATAATGATTTTCAGAGTGGTTGTACTAATTTTCAATCCCATGGACAGTACATAGTTTTTTCCCCCCTCATCCTCACCAGTATTTATTATTATTTCTATTATTTATGGATGCAATTTTAAATGGAGTAAAATGAATTCTCAGTGTAGCTCTGATTTGCATTTCCCTGATTGCTAAGGACGTTGCAATGTTTTTTTCATATATTTGTTGGCTATCTGTATTTCTTATTTTCAGAAATGTCTGTTCATTTACCCACTTATTGATGAGGTTATTTGGGTTTGTTTTGTCTTTGGTATTTTTTAGTTCTTTGTGTATTCTGGATATTTTTGTATTTTTTTCAGAAGAATAGCTGGTAAATATTTTCTCCCACTCTGAGGACTCTCTCTCTTAACGTTCTTCATTGTTTCCTTTACTGAAGCTTTTTAATTTGATAGTATCCCATTTATTGATTCTTGGTTTTAGTTTTAGGAGTCTTTTTTAAGAAAGTCAATACCTTTACCTATTTGTTAGAGTGTTGACCCTATGTTTTCTTACAGCAGTTGCAGAGTTTCTGGTCTCATTCCTAGTCTTTGATCTACTTAGAGTTGACTTTTGTTCAGAGTGAGAGATAGAAATCTAGTTTTATTCTTCTACTATGTATACCGAGTTTTCCTAGTACCATTTGTTTAAAAGTCTCTCTTTCCTCCAGTGTATGTTTTCAGTGCCTTTGTCAAGGATCAGATGAATGTACGTGTGTGAATTTGTCTTCTGTTCTATTCCATTGGTCTTCATATCTGTTTTTATGCCAATACCATACATTTTTGTTATTGTAGGTATCTTTAATTTGAGATTGGGTTGTGATGCAGTACTCATCTCATTTTTATTAAATAGTAACCAAAATCTTCTTACAAGTTTATATAGCATTCATGTCTTCTCCAGGTAAGAGAAAATCCACATACCATCTCTCCTTGAAAGTTTCTATGTTTTATTAAATTTCAGGCTAATTGTTTGCCTGTAAACCTCACCTCTCTGATGGGTTGGAGAAAAGTTATGGTTTTGTAAATTATTCAGCTTCTACTTGTTGCCAGAATGAAAATGATGTTTTTCCAGCTTTTTGCATCCTAAACAGAAGCACTGCTAGTTTACACAAGGGAAAATTTCAGAAAAACATCTATGTGTAGGTTTTTTATTGGCATTTCTCCAAATTAAGACAAAGAAATGAACTGAAGATGATTGTGGCAACTTATCGACTTTAAGATGGTAATTGAAATAAAGCAGAAACAGATGAAATTTTCAGAGGATACTTTAGATCTATTGTGAGATTCTGAAATGTATGTTCCTGTAGAAATTTGTTTGTTTTCACAGTTCTATCTTTTTTTACTTTTTTCCTCATATGATTAATGATGTGATCTTATTTTTGTCTATAGATAATTGATATGAGTGCTTGTTCTTCCAAAGTGATTGTGAAAAATATATAATTAGTATTTGTGGGTTTTCCCCCCACAGGTATTCAAAGTGAATCATGCTATCAAAGTAGCAATTAAGGACTTGTCTTTGAATTTGTACGAGGGGCAGATCACTGTTCTTCTAGGACATAACGGAGCAGGAAAATCCACTACTCTGTCAATTCTTTCAGGTATGTGTTCAGTTCTCATCAGAAGATGTCTTCACCCAGAAATTGTAAATAAAGCAATGAGGCTTTTGTGTATATTCTTTATGTTAAAGTTTAGTCATTTTAGTGATACATAGTTTAATAAACCACTTTCTTTTTAGGTTTACAAATAATTATGAAAATTAGAATGAGAATTTTGGAGGGAAAAACATTATATAATGTAGAAATGGTTAATGTACTAAGGAGACATAGCAATTTTTAGTACACATGCATCAAAGAACAGAGCATCAAAATAATTAAAGCAAAAAAACTGACTTGAAAAAAAGAGTAGATATGTTTACAATTATACTTGGAGACTTCAACACTATTCTTTCGGTACTTGATATAACCAAAGGGCAGAAAATTAAGGATGTTTGAAAATTAGCAGCACTATTAACCAACATGATCTAATTTGTGTTTATATAAAACTTCATCCTAACAGTTGGGCCTACTTGCTAGGCGTAATACCCAATGAGGCAACGAGCTTAATAGACAAGGCAAAGAGACAGCCAAAGAGACCATGCTAAAACTGCTGTCATCCCAAGGTGACTTCATATGAGAAGTGTTTACTTTCCAAAGAGTGGTAACACCAAAGACATTGTGCTGCATGGGAAATAGAATTAACCAGAATAGTCTAGCAAAGTTACAAAGTAAATGATGACAAAAACCATACCTGATGAAGACTAAGGGGAATTGGTATCTACAAAAAATTGCTCAAATACATTACAAAATATCCAGTTTTCCAAAAATGTTTGAGACATGCAAAGAAACAAGTGTGAATAATACTGGGGCAGAAGAACAGACAACAGAAATTTGTTATGAGAAGTTCCAGATTTTAGGTTTAGAAATCAAAATGGTCATAATAATAGTTCAAATAAACCTTGATTAAAGAAGTAAAGGTAGAGCATTCAAGATGGAAGGGTAGAGGAAGGCTGCATTCCTAATTCTTCTGTAGCTCAGGATTCAAGCAGTAGGAGTACTGCCTCTTAGCAAGGTGGGTAAAAGGTATTTCAGTAAAATCCGGTATTGGATTTTCAAAGTGTCTTAGAGATTAAGAAATTTGGGTACAGTAAACAAGAAAGAATACATTTGAGCTTAGCTGGCAGTGGTGTGCCAGAAGTGGTATTGGTGCTGGTTCACCACAGAGGGAGGGAAAACACAGAGAAATACAGATTTGATATGGAAAAAACAACATTAGAAAAGCAGCCTGAATTTAGCTGATCCAATAGCTGCACTGAGCACTGATGCTTGAAAAGCACTGTTTTTCAACTGGCCACAGAGAGCTGAGGTGAGAGCCATCATGAAGCAGCCACACTGCAGCTGCTGGTGTGGAAGCAGGAGATTGTAGCAAACAATGCCACACTGTCCTCGCAAGTACCTACCAGGTGGCCTCGGGTGTACCTGACAGGACATGAGTGAAAAAAGGCACAGTTAAGGTTGTATCCAGGGGATTCAAGTCATAAAAGTGGAGACCTGCAACCGACCGGCAGAAGAGGCCCAGTGGCCCGCCGGTGTGGTAGACACATCACCCCAATTGGAGGAAGGGCCCAGCTGCCGCCCGCAAGGTAGGCAGACCACGCGTCCCGGAGAAGGGGCCCAGCAGCCCACCGGCCTAGTTGAAAGATCACCCCAATTGGAGGAGGGGCACAGCCGCTGCCCGCGCCTGCAAGGTAGGCAGACCTGCAACCTGGAGAAGAGGCCCAGCGGCCCGCCAGCGTGGTTGACAGATCACCCCTATTGGAGGAGGGGCCCAGCCATTGCATGCAAGGTAGGCAGACCACGCGACCTGGAGAAGGGGCCCAGCGGCCTGCCGGTGTGATAGACTGATCACTCCAATTGGAGGAGGAGCACAGCCGCCACCCGCCCCTGCAAGGGAGACTTTGCAACTATACAAGAGCAATATAAATATACAGGGGGAAAATTCAATAACACAACAGTTTTGCCAAGCAGAAAGAAACGCGAGCAGTATGAAAAGACAAGGAAAGAAAGGACCACAAGCAATGCAGGTCAACTCAACTTTAGAAGAGGTAATAGCTGCAGCAGATGGAATGTCAGATAAAGAATTCAGGATTTACATGCTTCAGATGATCTGGAGTCTCAAGGAAGACATTAGACAGCAAAATCAGACAATGAAAGATCACTTCAACAATGAATTACATAAACAAATCCAAGAAGCAAAGGATCAACTCTACAGGGAGATAGAGGTTATAAAAAACAAACAAACAGAAATCCTAGAAATGCAGGAAACAATAAACCAACTTAAAAACTCAAATGAGAATACTACCAGCAGAGTAGAACACTTAGAAGATAGAAACTCAGACAATGAAGACAAAGTATTTCAACTTGAAAAAAACATAGACAGTTCAGCGAGACTCTTAAGAAACCATGAGCAGAACATCCAAGAAATATGGGATAACATAAAGAGACCAAACTTAAGAGTCATTGGGATACAGGAAGGTATAGAGGTCCAAACCAAAGGAATGAGCAATCTGTTCAATGAAATAATACGAGAAAACTTCCCAGACTTGAAGAATGAGACAGAATCCCAAATCCTAGAAGCCTACAGGACGCCGAACGTGCAAAATCATAAGAGATCCACACCTAGACACATTATAATGAAGATGCCCAACATACAGAATAAGGAGAGAATCTTAAAAGCTTCAAGAGAAAGGAAGCAGATTACATTTAGGGGTAAACCAATCAGGATAAAGCTGATCTTTCAACACAGACTCTGAAAGCTAGAAGATCCTGGAACAACATATTTCATACGCTGAAAGAAAATGGGTTCCAACCAAGAATTGTGTATCCAGCGAAATTAAGCTTCAGGATGGAAGATGAAATTAAAACCTTCCACGATAAACAAAAGCTAAAAGAATTTGCAGCTAGAAAACAATCTCTTCAAAACATCCTCGGCAAAACATTACAGGAAGAGGAAATGGAAAATAACAATGAAAACCAACAGTGGGAGATAGTACAGTAAAGGGAAAAAATAATCAAAGAGGAAAAACAAACCATGTTAAGTAACATAAATAAACAAATATGGCTGGAAGAACAATCCATATCTCAATAATAACCCTAAATGTTAATGGCTTAAACTCACCAAATAAGAGACACAGGCTAGTAAGAGTGGATCAAAAAAAAAAAAAAGATCCAACAATATGCTGCCTACAGGAGACACATTTGATAGGAAAAGACATACATAGACTGAAGGTGAAAGGTTGGGAAAAATCATATCACTCATATGGACTTCAGAAACAAGCAGGAGTGTCCATACTCATATCAAATAAAATAGATTTCAAGCCAAAATTAATCAAAAGGGATAAAGAGGGACACTACATACTGCTCAAGGGAACTATACACCAACAAGACATAACAATCATAAATATATATGCTCCAAACAATGGTGCAGCTATGTTCATCAAACAAACTCTTCTCAAGTTCCAGAGTCTAATAGACCACCATACAATAATTATGGGAGACTTCAACACACCTCTATCACCACTGGACAGATCTTCCAAACAAAAGTTGAATAAAGAAACTATAGAACTCAATAATACAATTAATAACCTAGACTTAATTGACATATATAGAATATACCACCCAACATCAAGCAGTTACACTTTTTTCTCAGCAGCACATGGATCCTTGTCAAAAATAGATCATATATTATGTCACAGGGCAACTCTTAGACATTATAAAGGAGTAGAGATAATACCATGCATCTTATCTGATCATAATGGAATGAAACTGGAAATCAACGATAAAAGAAGGAAGGAAAAATCATGCATCACTTGGAGAATGAACAATAGGTTACTGAATGATCAATGGGTTATAGAAGACATCAAGGAGGAAATTAAAAAAATTCTTAGAGATAAATTAAAACACAGACACAACATATCGGAATCTATGGGACACAATGAAAGCAGTTCTAAGAGGAAAATTCATTGCCTGGAGTTCATTCCTTAAAAAAAGGAAAAAACAACAAATAAATGATCTCACACTTCATCTCAAAATCCTAGAAAAAGAAAAGCAAAACAACAGCAAAAGAAGTAGAAGGCAAGAAATAATGAAAATCAGAGCTGAAATTAATGAAATCGAAACAAAAGAAACAATTGAAAAAATTGACAAAACTAAAAGTTGGTTCTTTGAAAAAATAAACAAAATAGACAGACCCTTAGCCATGCTAGCAAAGAGAAGAAGAGAGAGAACTCAAATTACTAACATACGGGATGAAAAAGGCAATATCACAACAGACACTTCAGAAGTAAAGAAGATAATCAAAAATTATTTTGAATCCTTATACTCCAATACATTAGAAGATAGTGAAGGCATAGATAAATTTCTTAAGTCATATGATCTGCCCAGATTGAGTCAGGAGGATATATATAACCTAAACAGACCAATATCATTTGAGGAAATAGAAGAAGCCATCAAAAGACTACCAACTAAGAAAAGCCCAGGACCAGATGGGTATACAGCAGAGTTTTACAAAACCTTTAAAGAAGAACTAATGCCAATACTTTTCAAGCTATTCCAGGAAATAGAAAAAGAGGGAGAACTTCCAAATTCATTCTACGAGGCCAACAGCACCCTGATTCCTAAACCAGACAAAGACACCTCAAAGAAAGAAAACTACAGACCAATATCTCTAATGAATCTAGATGCAAAAATCCTCAATAAAATACTGGCCACTCGGATACAAAAACATATCAAAAAAATTGTGCACCATGATCAAATAGGATTCATCCCTGGGATGCAAGGCTGGTTCGATATACAGAAATCAATAAATGTTATTCACCACATCAATAGACTTAAAGATAAGAACCATATGATCATCTTGATAGATGCAGAAAAAGCATTAGACAAAGTACAGCATCCCTTTATGTTCAAAACTCTAGAAAAACTAGGGATAACAGGAACATACCTCAATATTGTAAAAGCAATCTATGCTAAGCCTCAGGCTAGCATCATTCTGAATGGAGAAA